ATACGAAGCAAAGTAATTATGAATGACTAGTTAAATAGTATTTTTTATGGAAAAACATTAGGTATGGATCTATCATCTATGTCTCAAAATGGACTCAATCACTTGTAGTGTAAAAGTGTGAAATTTTGCTAATTAACACGCCTTGTGCGGCCTGATTCTCACAACCAGCCAACCTCACGACGGCCAAAGTTGATGGACCTAGAAACCGTAAGTGAGGATCAATTGTACTATATTTTCGAGTCATAAAAGAGTCTGCAACTATAATATATTAAAAAAATATACCACATCCTAAATTAAAAGGAATAAAAGAAATTTTTGAGATAAACATACATGAGTGGGGCTTATATAAAATTATATGGTTTCACCTTAGCGTAAGTGCCGAATAAAGTTTGCTGATCATTCGTCGTCTTTAAGGTTTTGATTCTGTCTTAGTTTTTGTTTTGTTTTTGCTGCATTTTGTTACGAATTTTCATTTCGGGTTGTTTTCCTGTGGAGGCATTTGAATTTTGGCGTCGTTCGTTTAAGCTATTGAAAGATATTTTATTTTGGCATTAGTTCGATAGTTCGAACAAGCACCTGGAACCACAGAATAAAAAGGGAAGATCTTCACATACTATATTTCTTTAAGTAATTTGTGTTATATTCCATATGTAAGTCCATGTAGATCTTATTACGGTTTTTATATGATAGGTAATTGCACGTGGAGAGATAAAGAAGAAGGAGAAAAGAGACATGCTAGGAGAGGAGATCAATGAGAGAGAATAGAAGATTTCTTGCCATAGTTATCCTATTATCTTGGAAGGAAATCTTGAATGAAGACCTATGCCTTGTAGAAGACTCCAAACCTAAGGAGATCATATATATACCCTAGAAGAAGCTTATGGCGGCGATATATAACATACTGAGAAATATTCGAGAGCCATTCAAGCTTCACTTGTTTACTGTTCTATTTTGATTGTATTTAGTACAGTCTAAGAGTTCTTACAAACTCAAGGACTGGTACTGCTTTCGTTTAGTTCTTTATACATTTCATCAAAACTATTTTACGGTTTGTACACTTAGGGAATAAGTGTAGGTGTTTAAGTCCACGGGACGTGGCCAGAGGATTAGTTGATAGGATCAAGTAGAGTTGGCTAGATTTGAAGGGAGTTCGAATCTTTGTAAGTCCAAGCTATGTATACGAGTGATCTATCAATGAAAGAGCTCTGAGGGGAAGTGGGACGCTTCCCTGAAGAGTTTATCAATCTTCGGTTATTTGCTTCCGCATTTTACAATTCTTATTGTAGTTCGTACTAAGACTCGCGCACTCCGTGACAAATATACGTTTCATTTGGCACCAGAGCAGTGTTCCTGTTCTTACTACGGGATAAAGATCTTTGGGACTGTGTGTTGGTCACCATGAGTCACGATGGAATGTCTGTTTCGCGCCCTCCGTTCCTTGATGGAGCAAACTATGCTTATTGGAAATCCATGATGGTAATTTTTCTTCGTTCCCTTGGTAAAGGCACGTGGCAGGCCGTTGAATCAGGATGGTCGACACCACTTATGCCAAAAGCTCCCGCTGAATTTAAACAAGGTGAACCTTCGGATGCAAAGTCGTCTATGTCTTCCACTCAAGTTCTTGTTGAAAAACCAAGGAGTCTTTGGACTGACGATGAAAAACAAGCGGAAGAAGCGAACTTTCGTGCTTTGTATGCCATCATGTCTGCAGTAGACCCAACGCGTCATAAGATAATCATTCAATGCACCACCGCTCAAGAAGCCTGGAGGATTTTAGAAAGACAATTTGAGGGTACAAATGCCGTGAAAACCTCAAAGCTTCAAAGAGTCTCCACCGAGTTAGATGAGATTCGCATGAGGGAGGATGAAACTATTGATATGTACTATGCTCGGTTCTGCGACCTAGTCAATCAAAGTGCGATGCTTGGTGAACCGGTTCCAGAGGCTAGACAAGTACAGAAATTAATGAGAACTCTGCCGGATAGGTTTGGAATCAAGATCACAGCACTTGAGAGCTTCCAGAGGATTCAGAAACTTGGCATTGACGATCTCCTCAGTGAACTTCGCACCTTCGAAATCAATCATGGTTTTGACTCTATGAGGATAAGCAAAGGGAAAGGCTTGGCGTTGAAGGCCAAGGTTCGCACCTCAGTAGCTGAAGATGAAGAATCTGATGAGGAATCCTTTGATCCTGATGAAATCACCAAGGCACTTAC